TGCATTTATAGAACAAATTAAAACTCTTGTAGTCAACTCCAAAATGGCTCTTTTTCTTTTAACTTTCTATTATGATTTTGAGTGAAAGTTTATAGAGCAAATATTTTTCCATTCAATAATTCTTACACATTTTGTTTATTGACATAAATATTGTTGTTATGTGCCATCAAGTCTCCTGTGACTCATAGTGACCCTATGTACAATAGCTCTGAACCCTGCCCTATCTTGATCTAACTTCATTATCTCTAACACACCCACCCCCGTTACTCCAGTTATTGTGTCAATCCATCTTATCCAGAGTCTTCCTCTCCTATGCTGTCCCTTTTCAAGCATAATGTTCTTCTCCAAAGACTGATCCTTCCTGTCCATATGCCCAAAGTATGTGAGAAGGAGCTTAAAAAGCCTTACCTCCAAGGAGCAGCTCAGTTTCACCCTCTGCAGGACAGATGTGTTTGTTCTTTTAGCAGTCATGGTCTATTCAATACTCTTCTCTAGCACCACAACTCAAAGGCATCAATTCTTCTTCTCTTGTCCTTGGTCATTGTCCAGCCCTCTGATGAATAGCAAGTAATTGCAAAGACCATGGCTTTGATCATGCATCTTTGTCTCTGGACTGACATTGTTCCTTTACAGATTCTGGAGAGGTCCCTGAGAGCAGGTTTTCCCAGTGCAATTAGTCTTTTGATTTCCTGACTGCTGGTGCCAAGAATATTGATTTGTTAACAATCTCAGTCTCTTCTTCATCTATCATGATGCTGCCAATTGACCCAGTGGTGAGAATCTTTGTTTTCTTAATGTCAAACTTCAATCCATATTGAAGACTGGAGTCTTTGACCTTCTGAAGCAAACAATTCATGTCCTATTCAGTTTCAGCAAGCAAGGTTGTATCATCTGTATGTTGCAGGTTGTTCAGTAGTCTTCCTCAAACCCTGATACTAGCATTCCACCTTATACAGTCCAGCCTCCTGGATGATCTGTTCTGCATATAGATTGAAAAGGTATGGAGATAGGATATATCCCTGGCATATACCTTTCCTTATTTTGAACCATACGGTATTTCCTTGCTCTGTTCTGACAACTGCCTCCTGGTCCAAGTATAGGTTTCACATAAGCACATTTAAGTGTCCTGGGATTAATATTCTTTTCAAGGTTAGTCTCATTTTTTTTGTGATCTACACAGGTAAATGTCTTTGCACAGGCAATGAAACACAGATTGACATTCCTTTGGTACTCTCTGCTTTTAGTCAAGAATGTTGAATGACCCAGAGTCACTATACCAAATTCTTCTGTGACTGACACAGAAGAATGACATGAAACAACATATGATCAAGAGGCAATGGTGATGAAGGAAGACGTTCAAGCTGCTCTGAAAGAATTGGCAGAAAAAAAGGCTCCAGGAATTGACAACATACCTATTGGCATATTTCAACAAACAGATGCTGCCCTGGACATACTCACCAGGTTGTGCCAAGAAATCTGAGGACAGCTACCTGGCCAACTGATTGGAAGAGATCTGTATTTATTCCCATTCCAAAAAAAATGTGACCTGACTGAGTGTGGAAATTATTGAACAATATTGCTAACATCATATGTAAGCAAAATCCTGCTAAAGATTATCCCAAAACAAGTAGAACAGTACATTAACAGAGAACTGCCAGATGTGCAGGCTGGGTTTAGAAGAGGCCGTGGCACTAGGGACATTATAGTCAATGTTAGATGGTCTTGGATGACATTGACAAGCAATCATCAAAGTGTAACATCCCCTCCCATTACCTCCCTATGGTTCCACTTCCACTCGTTGTTCTTTTCCTTTCTGCCTGCTGAGCTTCAGGCAGATGCCTTGTGACTTCAAATGACTGATTGTTTTAAGAAGTTTATCTCTACTTGGTGTTATTGTTGTTGTTAGGTGCCATCAAGTTGAGTACAACTCACAGCAACCCTATGACCAAAAGATCTGAACCCTGTTCCATCCTGTGCCATCTTCACACTTCCTGACACATAAGAGCCCATTGCAGCAGTCATTTGGTAGTTGTTGATTGCCTTCAAGTTGAGCACGACTCATAACGACTCCATGAACAAAAGGCCTGAAGCCCCTCTATAACCATCAACATTTATAAAAGTTCATAGAGTTTCTGGAGGCATGTTATTTAGGAAGTGGATGGCACTCCTGCCTAATTGCAGATTTCCCCAGTGCAATACATCTCTTTATTCCCTGACTGCTGGTACCAAGGGTGATAATTGTGGATCCAAGTAAGATGAAACTGTTGACAGTTTCAATGTCTTCTCCATCCATCATGATGTTGCCTATTGGTCCAGTGGTAAGAATCTTTGTTTTCTTGACATTGGGATGTAATCCATACAAAAGACTGCATTCCGTGATCTTCTGTAACAAATGCTTCAAGTCCTCACTTTCTGCAAGCAAGGTTGTGTCATCTGCATAACACAGGTTATTGATGAGTCACCCTCCAATCCTGATGCCACACTCCTCTTCATAGAATCCAGCTTCTTGGATAATTTGCTTAGTATACCATTTGAATAGGTATGGAGAGGTAATACAAACCTACCACACTCCTTTCTCAATTTTTCCCCCTATAATTATATTTTATTAATTTTCATAAACATTTACAGAGATTTTGGGTTTCCATTAATTCATTGTTGCACCATTCTTTCTACCCTCCTCCCAGTTTGTTCTTGTCCAAATGCCACAGTGCTTGTCAAAGCCAGTTCTGATTAATCTTCTTTGTCAGTGTGTCCTTTGCCATTCCCTATCACTCCTCCCTGAGAGAGACTTCACCCTGATTCATAAGGAAAAGGGGATGGCGTATTCTCTTAGCTACTTCCTGCTGAAAAGGGACGCTGTGGGTTTCAGGGTGAAGATCTTCTCTCACTACTCTAAAGGGCCCCTTTGGCAGTAGGAAACACAATTTAAAACCACGCAGTGTTATCCTGCCCTGTTCACAAAATAGCCTTCTGGTCTAGGTATAGGTTTTGCATGAGCACAATTAGGTTGTTATGATCTACATAGCCAAATGCGTCTGCGTAGTCAATAAAGCACAAATAGGCATTCTTTTGGTGATCCTGGTGCTAGTCCTCAAGTGTTATCCTGAAATACAATGTTTTGAGTAATAGGATAATATCCATACCCATAAAGGAAGACCTGTTAACGTGACAATTATTCAAATATATGCTCCTACATCTGGAGCCAAAGAGGAAGTAATTGAGAATTTTTACCCAATCTTGCAGTCCAAAATTGACTGAATATGCAATCAAGATGTGTTAATGATAGTTGGTGACTGGGATGCAAAAGTGGGAAACAGTGAAGAAGGAATAGTATTTGGAAACTATGGGCTTGGTGATAGAAATGAAGCTGGAAATAGAATAATTGAATTTTGTATTTACAATGATTTATTAATTGCAAATACCTTTTTTAAAAAACACACAAATGATGACTTTACACATAGATCTCACCTGATGGGCTGCATAGGAATGAGATTGACTACACTTGTGGAAGAAATCATTGGATAAGCTCAATATCAGCAGTTAAAAACTAGGCAAGGGGCAGATTGTAGGTCTGATCATCAGTTTCTCATATGCAAGTTCAAATTGAGGCCGAAGAGAATGAAAAAAGTCCACAGGAACCAAGACATAATCTTGAAACAATTCCATCTGAATTTCAAGATCATTTTAGGAATAGGTTTGTGGCATTGAACACCAATGTTTGAAGACCAGATGAGCTGTGGGATGATATCAAGGATATTATCCATGAAGAAAGCAAAAGGTCATTACAAAGAGGAGGAATAAAAAAAAAGTGTCAGAAGATACTCTAAAAATTGCACTGGAGCCTCAAGAAGGAAAACTTGGTGTTACTAATCACCTCATAATCAGCTCCAGGCCAAAGGTGACTTAGTCTCAGGGTTCCACCAGTCTCTATTAAACCTTGGTTTTGTTTTATTTTTTTTTTAAAGTTCAATTCCATATTTTTCTCCCCCCAAAATGGCTCTTAATAGTGTTCAGATCTAATTAACCCATCAAACTCCCTCCCTCCTGTTGGTTATTCTCCAGCCAATGTGTTCTGCTCTCTGCACACTGACTGACTGGAGGCTTGCTAGGATCTTCTGGGTTTATTTGCAGCCTCTACTGTGAGTCAAGCCAGTTCTTCCCTCAATGAAGCTGTTCACATGCGTCTCTGTCACCTCTTCATGGGCATTTGCCTTTATTCTTACCATCCTTTCGCTGTGCCACAGAGAAACTCTTTGACCTCTTTATTATACTTAATTGATGAATGTCTTTGTACCTGTATTTATATAAATGGGTTCCTAGCCTATAAAAGAATGTGTGGTACAGACAGTTGACATAGTTAACGAGTCACTCAGATGCTAGGGAGGAAGGACCTTGTGATTTACTTGTAAAACAGTCACTGAAGTATTGCTCTGACACATGGGATACCTTGAGTTAGTGTTGATTCAACAGCAAAGCTTTTTTTGGTGCCTTTTTCTGTGAAGAGGGAGCTCTGGTAGAATTCTATAGGGAATTGTGCTGTTAACTCAAAGGTTATCCTGCTGTCAGTTCAAATCCACCGTCCGCTCTTTGGGAGAAAGATGGGCACTCTCTTCCTGTGTGATTTACAGCATTGGAACGCCATTGGATGGTTAGCTTTGAGTTGGTTCTTATTCAACAGCATTGAGTTTGAGTTTTTTTCCCCTGTGAAGATTTTCTGGTACTTAATATAGTGTTAGGGAGCTCTGGTGGCCTCATGGTATGAAACTGCGCTGCGGTCCTGAAGGCATGCTGTTCAAATTCACCATCTGCTCTGCTGGAGGAGGATGGGCAATCTCCTGCCATTTGATGAACTGCCTTTGAAAACCTGCTGGAGGATCCGCTATGGGTCAGTTCTGCCTCAATGGTACACAAGAACAGGACCAATAACAATAACAACTCTATAGTGTTATGCAGACTTATATAGACAGTCTTTTGGTTAATTGATATCTTTCTCTTGAAAGGTCTCTCAGCACTTGATTCGTCCTCTGATGAGCATGAGTCTGGCGTTGCACTGCCAAGTGAGGGAATTAGCAACATTGCTTCGTATGAAAGATGCAGAGATCCAGGACTACCAGGAGAGCGGGGCAACCTTGAGCCGAGGTGAGAGGGCGTCCTCTGAAGAACTGGGAGGGGGAGGGGTTGTCTTTTGAAAGCCTTAAGAAAGGGGAGACCTGTCAGCACCAATGAGATGCTTCCTTACGGGTGGCTGTGAGGGACTGGCTAGAACTGGGTACCTGATACCAGGCAATACTTCTCTCTGCTTTGACAGCCTGACCAGAGACCAAGTGGCCAATAGATGACATGCCCTAAGCAATGGCAAGGAAAGATTATACAACACTGTACTGGGACATTACGAAGTTGGGAGTTTAGGGATTTGACCTTTGCTTTTGGGGCAGGAAAAATTCCCAGGCATGGATGCTGCCACTATCCTGGTCATTTTTTGCTAATCCTTCTCTCCTCCTCCCAGTTTGTCTACACACTCTCCACCCTTCTTTGCCCTCTGGCCTAGATAACTCTGGATGTTGCTGCTTTTTCTTCTTTCCAGGAAGCCCTGTGCTCTGTTTCCTTTTCACTGCGTTGGTGAAAGCACATCCAGCGGCTCATACTTCTTTTTTCCATCATTCCCCATTATAGATCGGTTAAAGACAAAGCCGTTTGAAGAAAATTCCTTCTTGGAACAATTTATGATCGAGGTAGGAGATTATTTTCTTTCTGCTAGAACAACTTTTCATTAATTTTGCTTTCCTGGTGCCCGCGTGATGACTTGCATTTTGAGAGTTCAAGTGGCTTGTGTGGTTGAAAAGCTCTTTCTCTGAAAAAAAATTGCCTATGGAAAGTCTGATAACGCTTGCGAGGTACATGAGTAAGGGGGGCAGAAGTAGAGAGAAACAGTGGACCATTTGTAAAACAGCTCTGTTCAAACATCTGGGTGTCACTTGGAATTCTCTACGATTGGTTGACCAATTGCTAAATTCCTACTTGTTGAGATATGATCCTAACATCTGGAATGCGGGAGTGGTGTAGTCATGTCTCAGCTCTTTCAGCATCCAGCTGAAGAGGAAAGTTAGAAGCTCAGTGCTACCATTTGGGAACTGTCTTGTGGGCACAGTAGGCTGTGGAAAATCACGGTGTTTATTCAAGGGCGCTGGCGAGGGAATGAATGAGGAGTAGATAATTGTGGCCTGTCAGGAGCTCATGCCTAGGTTTCCCTTCTAAGGATTGAGCTTGGCCAAAAGAAACATCCATTAAATGCCAAACAGGGGCAGTTTTAATAATAGTGACCTTTGATAATGCCAGTCAATATTGATCTTCCTCTTCCCTCACTCTTCTGGGACTTGCTGGTTGAACAGTTAGCATCTTAGTATTGTTGCCCCATTTTCCAATCATACATGTTACCTAAGTTGGTATGTTATTGTGTAGGTAAACAATGCTATTATATTATCGTGATGTTTATAGAGTCTTTGTAGTTCTGTCTCATCTTCTAAGCTAGTTTATAAATTCTATTTGGATAAGGACTGTAAATTGTACTTCTTTTAAAGCTCAAAAATTAGCACTTTTCAAAGTGCTGAGTATAAAGCAGGTATTCTCTTTCTTCTCATGTGGTTGATTAGTCTAAAGAATGAGTGCCTATCTGGTTTACTGCTTGTCTAAAGGTTGAAGTACAGGTGAGTTTTGGTTCATATTTGAAGGGTGACAAAGGGCCATGGTCTTAGAGGTTCCTCCAGTCTCTATTGAACCAGTTGGCTTGAACTTGAAAATGTTTTTGTTTTGTTTTTTTTAAATTTTCTTTTATTTTGTTCTGAATTTTCATCCACTGCATCTAGTCCCTTTTTCTGTGATTTCTTTTAGAGTGGTCAGCAGTTGGAGCCGGGGGTCATCTAGTTCTTCAGGCCTCAAAGTCATGGAGCTTGGCGTGTGCATAGTGTGTGGGTCCTTTGGACTTTATGCATCTTTGTTTTCTTTAGTCATCTTTGTTCTGGATCTCGGAGAGAGGGAGCAATAGTTGTTCTCACAAGCCTTTAAAAGCCTGGTCTCTCCTCACCAACTGACTTTGATAGACGCTGAGTCTGTGGGCCCAAGAAAGCAGGCGTTCTTGATTTGGAACCTTCTGTTCTTTCTCAGTGCATAGTTTGAGCAATGACTCTCCACTGTGCTTGGGGTCTTGACACTGAGAACAAAAACTATGAGCTGAGTGATGAGTCCATGCACTAAAGTGATTATAATTTTAGGGAAGAAGGAAATCATGTGTTGTTAAGTCCTAGAACAGAATTGTTGTTGTTGTTGTTGTTATGTGCCGTCGAGTTGCTTGCGACTCATAGCGACTTTATGTACAACAGCCCTAAACTCTCTGTCCTGTGCCAATCACACTGTCTCTGATATACCCATCCTGATTACCCCAGTCACTGAATCAATCCACCTCATAGAGGGCCTTCCCCTCCTGTGCTGTCCCTCCACCCTACCGAGCATGATATCTCTCTCCAAGGAGCGATCCCTCTTTACAACATGTCCAAAGTATGTTAGACGGAGCCTCAGAATCCTTGCCTCCAAGGAGCTGCCTGGTTTAACCCTTTCCAGGCTGAATCTGTTTGTTTTCCTAGCAGTCCATGGTACCCTCAGTACTCTTCTCCAGCATCACAGCTCAAAGGCATCAATTCTCCTTCTGTCCTCCTTTGTCATTGTCCAACTCTCTGACGCATAACAAGTGATAGCAAAGACCATGGCCTGTATCAGACGCACCTTAGTCTCCAGAGAGACACCCTATGGAGCAACTGGTGGATTTGAACTGTGTGCCTTAAGGTTGAAGTCTTTATGAGAAAAAGAGAATCATTAAACTTCAACTTATGACAGGTTGGCTTTCCTAGGCTGTTTTCTCTCAGATATTTTCAGGGGCCTACGTATTCAGTATTAAGGGACATTTGCAGAAGTAAGAGTTGGCACCCTATTCCCTGCCTCAGCTTCCTGAACAGGGCATGGCTTACTTTTAGCCAGTGTAGAGCCCTTCCTGATATAATACCTGTGTACCTATCTGATTTGATATTCTGACATTTTCCCCCCTAGCTTGCAAAAGAACAAATGAATATGTCTTGGAGAGGGTATACCCATAGTACTCTTTGGAGGCAAGGTTGATGAGACTTCACCTCCCATACTTTGTGCATGTTGCTAGGAGAGGAACATGAAAGTTGGAAGGGTGGAAGGTTGGTGAAGGAGGGGAAGATCATCAACCAGGTGGACTGATGTGATGACTGCTGCAGTGGGCTCTAGTGTGTCAGGAAGTGTGAAGATGGAATGGGATAGAATTGGGTTCAGATCCACTGTTCAAAGGGTCACTAAGAGTTGTACTTGACTTGATGACACCTACCAACAACAACAACAATAATCTTCATATCTAGTCCTACTGAATTATTTTGAATTTTTTAAAATGCTAGTTGTTTCTTCCCCCTGGCCTTTATACCCTCACACAAGGGGAGCTCTGGTGGCCTAGTGGTCGGGAGTTGCGCTGCCATCCTGAAGGCACGCGGTTTAAATCCACCAGCTGCTCTGTGGGAGAAAGATGGACAGTCTCCTCTCAGTCACTTTACTGCCTCTGAAAACCTGCTGCAAGGTCAGCTGTGAGTTGGGTCTGGCTTGATAGTACCTTGAAACAACAACAACATACCTTCACACAAACTATTCCATTCATCTAGAATGTCTAATGTGCCTTATCTACCTTTTAAATTTTTATTAATATTTAATGTGTCAGTTTCAGCTGCTTTGAGAAATCTTTCTAGGCTGTTCTTGTGAAGATGATCTTTCTTCCTTGCTACTATATTACCTTGCTTTTACTTTTATTTTACCACCTATAAATAACTTCCCTCGTTGTATGTTCATAAGACTGTCTTTCCTTTCCTAACCCTTTGGACTCTGAGGGCAAGGACAGTGGTGAAAGCACTTCTGTATTCCTCACATTGAACATTGTGCCTAGATGGAGTAGATTCTCAGATGAGCTTATGAGTGAATACTGATAGTAGCAGGCCTGCATTTGAGGCCTTCAGTTATTCTTTTGGTTCATTGTAGTTTTGGATAAGTCCCTTCTCTTAGAGCCTCTGTTTTCTCTTTTATGAAATTGGAGACTCATCTGTTTTGTACTGTTGGGTGGAGCCCTGCAGAATTGAGTGAGAAACCATGTAGAATCAAGTGGGAGCCCAGGAAGGGGGTTGGTATTTTGAGAGTAACTACTTTAAGAATATTCATCCTCTGGTTTCTTGGTTTGGGGGTTTAGGCTCATGGTTTCATGGGATACCTCAGTTAATTGGTCTAATAACACGTTTAGTGCTTCTGTTCTGCCTCTGAGTTCTGTGTGTAGTGCTTGGGGTCTTAAAAACTTGCAAGTGGCCATTCAAGGTACCACAATTAATCTCTATTTGCATGGAAAAAGAGAGAATGAAGGATAGTTAAGATTAGAAAAAGGATATGAAATGTGTGTGTGGTAATTGGTTTCATGAACTGCCTCTTTTGCTATAAGACCAGAACTAGATGGTACCTAACTATTATTCTTGAACATTTTAATAAAACATTCTGTAGAAGAATCATTATCAAGAGGGGAAAAAGCAGAACATAATTTCACATTTTTATGGGCTCCAAATTCACTGGACCCAGGGATGTTGGATGAAGGCCTGAAACTATTGCCCTGAGATAATGTTTAAACTTTAAAGTATGTCCTTATTAGTATCTTCTTCTTAGAACAAAGCAATAGTTCAGCTTAACTAGTGAAAAAATGTCTGCCTTCACCATTATGCTCTTTAAAAATTTTTTTTAAATTTTATTTTACTATTTTGTGTGTGTGTGTGTACCGTCAAACCAGATCTGGCTGGTACAGGAGGAGATTGTCCCTCCTTCTTCAGCACAGGATCTGGTGGATTGAACTGTGCACCTCTGGGATTGCAGCTTCTTGCCTCTAGGCCACCAGAGTTCCCTTGAACCATTATGCTCTTTTAAGAAATACCAGTAGGGGATCAAAGTGACAACAGCAAATGAAAAGATTAGGTAGGAACATCAGAGGGTCGTGAATTTATATCACTGAGGGAAGAACAGTTCAGAAAAGTATATTGAGAATGGCATGTAGACACTGTAAAATTGGTATATATTTTGCTGTGTGTATTGTCAACAAAATAAATACAAAACCTAAAAAAGTAAGAGTACCACCTTCTCAGTCTGAGTGGGTCACTGCCAAACTTTGTAGGTGTCTAAAATTTGATCCTAACTGGGAAGGGTCTGGGAGATAGTTGTATTATGTTTATGCTGTGTACCATGGAGTTGGAATCAACTCACAGTTGACCCTCCAGCAGGTCTTTGGAGGCAGTAAATCTCACTGGAAGTTACTGTCTATCTTTCTCCCACAGAGCAGCTAGTGGATTTGAATCAAGTGCCTTTGGGTTGGCATCACAGCTATTTATTACTGGGCCATCAGAACTTCCATAGCTAGTTGTAACCTTCTATTTTATAGATTCAGAAACTGAGTCTCAGGTTAGACTGAGGTCATATAGTTACAGCAAGATGGTCTTCTCCATGTCTTAGCTCATAGTCTGGGGTTATCGCTATTTCATTTTGTCACTTTAACTGCTTGTATGCACCGATTAGTGGAGAGTCGAGGTAGATAATGTGAAATTCCTGTGACCTCCTGGGATCGCCACACTGTCCTTGGAATGTCCCGCCC